AATGCTCACTGCTGCAAGTTGTCAGTCATCTTCTTACTGCTGGCCTTCATGAGCACCGTCATATACGTGGAAGTTCAGTATCATTACTCTATGAGTTTGGTGCAAATGAAAAGTGGGAAAGTCATGTTTCATTTTTTACATATAAAGTCTTTCTAAACATTCTTCAAATATCTTTTGAGCAGGAAATTCTGATGTTTGGCAAACGCCATCATTTCTCTGCGCTCTTACCAAACATTGACATTTTGTATCTGTTTTTCAGCTTATAAAACAATAAAAAGAAACCCTGATTACCGTTGTTTAATTCAACAAATTACAAGTTACGAAAAATCATTTGGACTATTCTTTATATGGAAAATGGGAAAAAGGGAATCGATGTTCAGTTTAAATCGATCCTTTCAAACTATACAGTTATCACAAATCTGTACGTGTTTCAAACTTCGCGATTTATATCGTCCGATTACATTTTTCATTATATGATAGGCAATTTCAAGGATTAGGTGGGCGTTCTCTCATCTACATTTTTCTATCTTAAACCTGCGTAGGTCAACTAGCCCAAGCATGTACAGCAAGTGTTCTTTTGGATTTTTCTGATGCTGCTAGTCCTTGTAACAAACGAGAGCGCAATTTTTTAAAACCGCTAATGAGAGCATGTCGATTCTCCCTCATTCATTGGATTACCCCAGCACGCAAAAGGAGGATTTTGCATTCATTGGTTCGTGCAAAACTATCTCCTAATACGCGCCTGCTTGGTGTTTGCAATATCACTCGCATGTTTTGTTGATGCTGCTGTATGAAATTTGTTCTACATTAAAGTTATTCATTCTTGTATTATTCCTAATTAAGTCCTCTTTTGATTGGAATGAAATCTTTGATTTTGGGAGCCAATCATATTCGACAAAGAATTAGTATTGCATCGTTTTTACGTTAGTCCAGCTACTAAATTGAGATCTTGGAATGAGTGTAGTTCCTTTCTTATTGTAGTTTGACTTCGAACAAATTTCTCTGGAGTTTTAGTTGTTTTCAT